GTCAGAATGTGCACCATTTGTCTACAAATGTCTGAGCATGAAGCATCACCACTTACACAGGAGCCTCATTTGGTGTGAACGGGAGTTTTGTTGGTGACATTTGTAACGTTCTCACCGATTCAGTGTTGCACTCCATGATAAACAAGCCTTTATTCTACAACAGCTTGGTCTCTGGAATGCTTAAAAAATGCTTCTCTGCTTCGCCAGCTTATCTTGTGAGTGTGTCTCGGCCACCACCGGTCCTCACTCAAACATGAAATTCAGTCAAAATAAAATCCTCTTTGATCTTTTACAGTAGCAAGCTGCTCTAGCGGAACAGCATAAAAAAGACCAAACAGAGAGACCAGTTCGTCTGGCATCTTCGCCGAAGGAATGAGAGCTGGAGGGGGGCCGAGTCCTTCCACTTGCTCCAGAGGCGTTCGTCTGAAGTGAAACCGCCACCGATATGAGCCCTCACATCTCTTTGTGTGCCTAGACGAAAGTCCAGCACCCTGAGATTTATCTGCCTACTCCTGAAGGGCATCTAAAGGCCTGTTCTTCCCAGTGTTTGAACCTGTAAAAGCTAACACTTAAGTCCTTTCACACAAAGAGAAGCCCACAAAGAGGAAAGAGGAGGAGTATGCCCCCATCCTGAGCCAAAGAACAAAGCATTCATTGTTGGGGGCATCGCATTGCCCATTCTCAGCAGAATCGACCCCCTCAAGTCTCCTGTGGCCCACTCCCTCATTCTCCTCTTTCTCTCAAAGAGCATTAAAAAGGTTCACTTTGTTGTCTGCGGTTGAGATCGGCTGAGATTTTCTGCTGCTATGCATGAGTGTGTTTTCCTGGGAAGGTAAACACATCTTCCAGGGGTTTATGACGAAGCACTCATTTCCCATGGAAATGAAAGGGGGGATTATAGGGCTGGATAAAGAGGCCAGGGAGAGCTCCACTCTTCACACAGCAGCAGCTCACATTTGTGCAGAACTCTGGAGACACTGTGCAAACAAGAATGCAACCGAATCCATCCTCAAACAGTGGAATACCCACAGCAGTTTTGCACCCAATGTCATCAAGACTCAAGTTCTCCATGTGCCTCTGCATCGGGGCCCTGAGCTTCTGCCGTGCTTCTGTCTGCTCTGTTTTGAGCTCACCTCAAATATTCAGCTTACGTCTGACAGACATAATTCATTCATTCAAAACCAGATGTAAACCTCTGAGCCAACTACAACAGCAGTGATAACAAACGTGTATAAACCTGGTTTTCCACTGCCTGTTCCGAGAGAGCTCCTACCATCCTCTTCATAATTGCTCTGCGCCAAGACAGTTTGCTGACACAGGGCACAAACACCTGGAGAACCCACAACAATA